CGGCATTCTTCCACGCACTGCTGGCCCCGAAGGAACTGGCTGCAGTTGACGCACTGGGTGGGCCCTGGACCCCAGCAGTGCCCGTGGGCACACAGCGGGTAGCAGGCCAGGCCCTCGCCCACTGCAGTGAGGAGGAAGGGGTCAGAGGGGACTCTCAAGGGAGACTCCAGGTCCAGGGGAGCTGGGGGAAGAGTCTGTGGGCATGGCTCTGAGCTGGAGAGGTGGGGATAGGTGACACGCAAAGCAGGGAGAGAAAGAGTTCTGAGGTTCCAGGAACAGAGAGGAAAGGGAAGGGAGGGATGCCAAGGCAGTGTGGCAGGACCCTGCTAGAAGCCATGCCAAGAGGCCAGGCCAACCAGAGCTATGTCAAGGATGGTGCACCAGGGACGGGCAGTGCACACGCACAAGTAAGTCCCAGACTACTGCTGCTGCCAGAGGCCCGTGGGCACACCTGCGCAGCAGTGCTGGGCTCCCTGTCTTACCGCACTCGACCTCTGGCCGGTTGGCACTGTGGAGCAGGGCCTGGTGGGGGTTCCGGAAGAGCTGGTCCCAGGGCACCGTGTGTACAAAGCAGAGGCGGGCGTTGCGGTGGATGAGGGCCAGCCCACTGCCCAGTTCCCGCAGCGAGCGCAGCCCCAGCCAGCGGATGCCCAGCCCTTGCAGGGTCAGCGAGTAGGCACCACTGTGAGAGGGGGAGTGCTCAAATGCAGGGGGGCAACGCACCACTGACCCTCCCCCCCTCAGCAAAGGCTGCCCTCGCCTTCCTCCTGTCCCCAGCACACTCTGCAAACTTCCATGGGAATGCTGCTGCTGGAGTCCTCGGGGAATAAGAACCCCCATTCCCCCCTACACACTCAGAGCTTCTCCCGGGCCTCCCGGGGCAGCTCCTCCCCCGTCAGGCCTCCCTCCCCTGGTGCTCACTCATGCAGAATTCGTCCCCGGATTACTCGCAGATTCTGGAAGACGCGGAGGTCCGGCAGGCTGTCTGGCCACGCTGAGATGTACAGGTAACCTGCAGGCACAGGGTGAGGCTAGGGATGTGGGGACAGGACGAAGACCTCCCAGCCCCATCGAAGCAGGATTCAGAGACGGAGCTCACCTGTGATCTCCTCCAGAGACTCAAATACTCTGAGCTGCTCAGGCTGTAGGGGGGCAGTGTTGGAGGCTCGGTCCCTAGGAGGAGGATTAGGAGAGGGCCAACAAGGGGGTGGGTAAGACCTCCCTCCACGAGCTGGCCCTGCCATCCTCCCCAAGGAGGGTTTAAGTGGAGGGGAGCCTCCACTTAAACCCGTTGCCCATCGAGCCCGGCTGTTCCCATCCTGAACTTCAAAGCCCAGGCCCTGGCTTGGCAAATATCAAAACAATATTTATATCCTTTGATCTAGAAATTCTACTTCTAGGAATGTGGCCTAGAGAGACACTGGCCTCTGTTCCCAAAGGCATGTGCAAAGGAGAACTGTTTGTTAGAGGGAAAATAAAAAACCTAAGGAAATTTAAAATTTAAAATTTTTTTAAAATTTAAACTTAAAAAAATTTTAATCAAATACCTAAACACCCATCAGTAAATGGGGAGCTATTAAACATAATCCTGATCCAGCCAGACTACATACGAAGAACTAACATTCAGGAGCGTGTAGTATCTGCTGGGCCCGGTTATAGGAGCTTTACAAATATTAACTCATTTAAACTTTATAACACCTTAGGAGGGCGGGACTATTTTTGCCCCCATTTAACAGATGAGGAAACTGAGACCCAGCAAGAAGGTCACATGATTAGTAAGTGGTAGAAGCCAGGTCTCAAACCCAGGCAGCCTGGGCTCTTAGCTGCTACTCTTTGCTACCACTTCTTCCACAGCTGTGGAAAGAACAAGGCAGCTGGACATGAACTAACTGTCATAACCAGCTCTCCAAAGCCAGGGGCCGACAATATTCACAACAGGCTCCCATTTTAAATCAACCTTTCCCCCCAAATTACGAACACTACGTTTCTCTGTGCGTGTGTATCCATAGATGTATGAATGGTCTAGAAGAACACACACAAACTGTTAACGGTGGTCCCCTCTAGAAAGGGGAGTAAAGGTGGAGAAAGTGTTGAAGGGAATTTTCTCCTTTTTTAATACATATTTTTATTGAATGTATAATTCAGTACAATAAACTGCAGATTTTTAGTGTGCAGTTTAATGAGTTTTGTCAAATGCATTCACTCACCTATCCACCACCCCAACTGGTATACAGAACATTTCCATCACCCCAGAAGTTTCCTCTGTGTCCCTTTCCAGGCCCTCACCCTGGCGCAATCACTGTTCTGATTTCTCTCACCACACAGTGGTTTTGCCTATTCTAGAGCAAAGGGAATCATACAGTGTGGACTCTCTCTTGTCTGACTTATTTTGCTTAACATAATGTTTTTGAGACACATTCATGTTGTTTCATGTATCAGTAGGCCATTTCTTTTACTGCTGAGAATTTCACCGTATGGATATACCACATTTTACAGTTGACCCTTGAACAACGCCTGGGTTACGGCACCAACCCCCCACAAAGTCGAAAATCCAAGTATAACTTTACAGTCAGCCCTCTGCATCCATGGTTCCAGATTCAAGCAACCCCGGACTGTGCAGTACTGCAGTACGGATTTATTGAAAAAAGTTCACATTTAAGTGGACACACGCAGTTCAAACCCATGCTGTCCAAGGGTCAGCTTTATTGATTCCTTCAGCTATTGATATACATTTGCATTATTTCCAGTTCGGGGCCATTATGAATAAAGCTACTATGAACTCAAAGAGAATTTTACTTTATCTGGATGGTGTGACCTCCATACAAGTGCATGTTCATAGATAAAATGTCATTTATGAGAAAAATCCCGGGAATCCCCTGGCAGTCCAGTGGTTAGGACTCCTCGCTTTCATTGTCAAGGGCCTGGGATCAATCCCTCGTTGGTGAACTGAGATCCAGCAAGTCACGCGGCGCGGCCAAAGACAAACAAACAAAAAACAAAAAGAAAAACTCCCCCCTCCAAAGTCCCTGCTGGTCTTCCACCTGCTTCCTTTGCATCCCTGGCCTCCCACCTCTGTCTCCCACCATCCCCGAGAAATGCTTCCACTTCTGGGGCCTCAGGATTCAGTGACTGCCCTGACGCTGCCTCAGGCCATGTGCCCACCCTTAACTCTGAGTATCCTTACCCCTCAAAGCTCTCCGGCAGAAACGCCAGGCTCCCAAAGATCTTCTTGCAGCCAGCAAACTCCTGGATGTTGGCACTGGTGACCGCCCTCACCTCCCGCAGGTGTTCCATGCCCAGACCATAGCACACTGTGGGGAGGGGGGCAGGGGGGCACCTCAGCCTCCACGTGGAGCACCAGGAATTCAACCTCCTGGGTCCTGTCCACAGTCCCCTCCTGGGGCCACATGCCCCCTCCTCACATTGGCAGAGACACGGGGGAGCTTGTGGGAGTGCTCAGGGGAGGGCCAGGGGCAGAGTCAGTGGGAGAACAGGACTGGGTCCCAGAAGGGTCTGAGGGAGGGTGGCACAGCGGGCTAGGCCAGGCTGGGTGTGCAGGGGGTGGCCACTGGGTACCTCGGGCACAGGGCTTGCTGCATTTCTCACACCGCTGGGTTCCATCCTCAGCTGTCACCTCTTGGTTGTTCAGGGGACAAACCAGGGTGCAGGATCCCACGTCCGTGGACAGGTAGTTGTCTGAGGAGATCAAGATCGTCTGTCCACGTGCCCTGGCCTTTCAGCACCGCCCCCCACCACCATGAGCTGTGCAACCATGCCCAGGTAGTACAATAAGAATGATATCAACTGATACCGAAATGCCCTTACACCATATCTGAGCCCTAGACACTCGTCCACTCCTCACGACAACCCTGTGCGATAGGCACTGTTAGATTCCCATTTTGCCAAAAGGGAAACCAAGGCACAGAGTTTTCTGTAAATTACTCAAGGTCCCTGTGCTAGTAAGTGGAGGAGCCAGGACGTGAACCCAAATGATCTAGCTCTACACTTCGTACTCTTCCCCCACCACGGGGAGGGTACGACCAGGACCCAAGAGCCCACTGCTGTCTCCTGTGACAGGAGGAAAGAGGTCCCCAGGTCTGAGGCCAGTCCCTAAATGCCCATCAGTAAATAGGGGAGCTAGTAAAAAAAACTCTGATCTATCTAAAAATCAACACTTAGGGGTGCTGAGTATTGTCTGGGCACAGTTATAAGAGCTTTGCAAATATTAACTCATTCAAACTTTAGAACCACCTGGTGAGGATGGGACTATTTTGGCCCGCACTTAACAGATAAGGAAACCGAGACACAGCAAGAAGGTCACATGACTAATAAGGGGCAGAGCCTGGTCTCAAACCCAGGCAGTCTGGCTTCTGTGCATGGTCTCTTAGCCGCTATTCTTTGCTGCCACCTGCTCCACTGCTGTTGAAAGAACAAAGGCAGCTCAATACGAACTGCCATGACCAGCTCTCCAAAGCCAGGGGCGGACAGTACTCACAACATGCTTCCATTTACATAAACCAAAGTCCCCAGCAAAACCACTAGAAGTACGTCTCTCCCCGGCACTCACAAGGACAGGCGGTCACGCAGCTGGCGCCGAAGGTATAACGGCCCTCGGGGTTGGGCATGGACTCGAAGGTGTCCGTGTTGTAGGTGACCAGAGCTGGGCAGTGCAGCTCACAGATGCCACTGTGGTTGAAGTGGAGGCAGGCCTGGAGGACAGGCAGCTGGTGGGCACTGGGCTGTTTTGCCCTGGTGTGCCAGAGGGTTAGGGCAGCACCAGGCGGGATGCCCCTCCCCTTGCACCCCGAGGGCTGGGGCGCCGGGGGCACGTACCAGACAGTCAGAGTGCTTGGGGCCCGTGCAGCCGGCAGCACACTGCTCGTGGCAGCAGTCAGTGGGCTGCGGGCCCTTACAGCGGGCACAGCCGCTGGCACAGACGGTTCGCGTCACTGTTGGGCAAAGGGCAGGATGAGGGCTGGGCGGCAGCCTAGGCACCGGGCCCTTCACCAGCATCACGTTCTGGGGAGACTTCCTGCCTCAGGGAAGATGCCGAGGCCCGGCACCCACCCGCCACGTCACCTTTATTCCCACGCAGCCCCTGCCCCCAGATTCTGGGCCTCCCTATAACTCACAGCTCTGACAGTCCTTGGAACTTTCTCCCCAGCAGCGGGGAGCTTTACAAGCTGGAGAACAGGGTGGGCCTGGGGAGAGAAACAGAACGGCAGTGAGAGAGACAGAGACCAGGAGACAGAATGCACAGTGAGGGAGAGACGCAGGCAGAAGAGGACTCCAAAACCGGAGGCACGATCTGGAAGCAGAGGGAGACAGGGCAGAGAACCACAGAGATGAAGAGACACAGAGAAAACGGAAATGGGTGGTGTTAGTGCAGCAGCGGCGGGGGCGTGGAGTAAGCCAGGAGTTTGGGGTCGGTGGGCTGCGTGAGAAAGAGAGGCGGCTGCAGGCGGCGAGGGGCGTGGCTTACAGGCCCGTGAGCGGTTGGTGTCTATCAGCATGAGGGCCAGCTGGTTGTTCTTGTGGAAGATGTCCTTCCACAAAATCGTGTCCTGGTGGCAGAGCTGGGGGTTCCGCTGGATCAAGACCCCTCCCTTCAGCATCTCTGTGGGGCGGGGGGCAATAATCAGATGCTTCTTCCCCCATCTGTCATCTTCTGACCTCCCTCGGGGCCCGCCTGCCTTCTAAGAGGGGAATGGGGCTCTTAAGCACGCCCCAGGTTCCTCAGGGAGCAGAGAAGACTCCTTCAGCATCTTTTAGTCCTACCAACACCACCCCACACGTGAACAAACGGCGATCCGGGGCGGAGTGAGTTGTCCGTGTCACTGTCTCCTCCACCTCTACTCTGTGCATGTTGCTTGGCAGTTAAAAGAGAGTGTGAAATCCAGCCTCACCACCACTAACTAGCTGTGTAACCTCAAGCAAGTCACTCATCCTGTGTAAACCTCAGTTTTCTCACCTGTAAAACGAGAATAACACTGATGCTTCCCTTGCAAGATTAAAGCACAACTGAAACGGGGTTATGCAGGTAAAGCACCAGGCACTCAGAGTCTGGGACACCGTCAGCTCCAAGGCTGCCGCGTACAGTTACATAGTTTGTTCACTGTACGTGTGCATTCAGCCAAGAAGTGGGCAAAAACCCAGCCTGCATCCTAACTGTCAAGCTATGTGGGCTGGCACAAGCTATGACTTCCTGGGAAGAAGGGAAATCTTTTTCGAATCCTCACAAGGGCGCCTCCCCTAGCTCCACTTGCATCCACCCGGAAGGGACCCCAGTTCTTATTCACACGAAGCATCCCCATGGCTAACAGGGGCCCTGGTCAGTTCTCAATAACCAGCAGAGTTTCAACGATAAGGATGACCACCTGTGAGGCTTCGCAGCTGCAGCTCCTGCAGCCCTCCCAGAGCAGCGCGTGCAGCAGACGTGGCACTTTCGAGAAGGTCTCCATTGTCCAGCACGGCCAGGGCATAGTTGTCCTCGAACAGCTGGGTGCCTCGCACAATCCGCAGCCTCTGCAGGGGGACCTGACTCACTCGGTTGTGAGCGATGAGCACGTAGCCCTGCACCTCCTGGATCTCCTGGGAGGGGACAGGGTAGGGTAGGGCTGAGGCAGGTCCAGGCCCTGGACCACTACCACCGCCCCCCCGCACAAGGCCTCCTCAAGGTTACCCTGTGCTCGGGGATCTTGGGCAAGGCCCCCAGCCACTGACCAGTCCTGCTCCCTCAGGCATAAAATGGAGATCAAGGCCACTCCCCACATCCCCGAACCAGATTCTAGTACGATCAAGAAAGAAAATGGCGGGGGAACACTCTGTAAACTGTAAGCAAGCACCCCACCCTCTCTGCATCTCAGTTTCTTCATCTGTAAAGGAAAGGCCTGGACGAGATGATGTTTGCGATCTGACAGACTAAGCATCGCACCTGAGGCCCTGCTCCAGGGCACCACGGACACAACGCAGAGGCTGGTTTCCATTCTCTCTCCTGCTCCTGACCCTTTCACATACATTTTCCATGTGATTTCAAAATGGGCCCCCCAGGGAGTTCAAGCATGTCTGTTGCTCCCAATATACAGATAGGGAAACTGAGATCCAGTGAAGCCAAGGGCCTAGACCACATTCACATGGCTTGTCAGTGGCAGAAGTGGACCGGGAACCGGCCAGCCCTTGCATTACTCCGGGTAGGAGGGGGACAGTGGCTGGGGCAGTTGGGCAATGGAAGGTGATCATGCTGGCAAGAGAGCAAAAAATTTAGCAGAGGAACGGGTGCATTCCACCCAGAGATGTCCACGGCCAGCCACGTTGTAGAGAAGGAGTCAACTGGTCTTGCAGTAGGATGGACGGGGGTTAGACAACAGAAAGGACTTCCCAGTTGAGCCACAACAAAAGAGGAAATACAGGGTGGGGAACACTCTACTACCACCCATCTGCAAGCAGAGGGCTCAGCCCATCAGGAAACAGGGCCTGGCTGGGTTTTGCCCATGGGCCTCACCTGCAGGAAGGAGAGGCTGGCATTAGCGGGCAGGTAGGTGAGCTCCAGGTTACCCTGCACCACCTGACAGCCCTGGTAGAGGTGGCGGAGCATGTCCAGGTGGGTCTCGGGACTGGCCGGCAGCCGCAGCTTCATGTCTGTGCCGGTGCACACTGGCGGGAGAGAGAAGATGGGTCAGAGGACACTGCCCAGTGAGCTTTGCCAACCTGGCCACCTCTGCCAACCTACTCCCCAGAGTCATGCCACCGCAGACAGCGAGGAAGCACAACGGAAGGATCCCTCCTCCCGTGTCCCTTGTACCCACAGAACGTGCAACAACAAAAGAAAGTTTGCAAATTTGGGAAGAGGAGGGACATCAGGGGAGAAGCTCCCCTGACTCGGCCCATCCTGAGCATCCAGAGGGTGTCTCGCTGTGCCAGCCTTAGGGAGCTTGCCTGTTCGATCCAGAGTGTTGGCTGGCAAAGAAAGCCTCCCTTTGTCCCAAAGGCACAACTCAGGGCCAACGGGTAAAAATCCCCCAAGAGAGGCGATGATGAATCATGAATCCTCTGGATACCCCTTGACCCTCTCCCGAACAAACAACGCCACCCACATGCCAACCTCCTGGCAAGGGATACCCACCCCTGCAATGCCACCCAGAAAGTGGGGAAGGAGGGTCAGCTGGAGTCATAGCTGGGGCATGGGGACCACTAGGGTCCTGGTCACTGCAGGAACTTCTGGAATTCCCCCAGGCAGAGAAAAGGAACATCAGATCCCAAATATGGGCATCCGGACCCGGGCTGCAGATGCTGAGCCAGAGTGCTGCCTACTCCAAAGGCTCCTACGCTGGTACCTCACCCTTGCCACCTCCTCAGGGCAAGACTCCAGAACCAGCTGGCAGAATCTATGCCACGGAACTCCTGCCACAAGGGCATTACGTCAGCCCTGTGTACCTGCCTGTGCCAACCACCAGCCAAGGGGCGTCAAGATGAACTGTCGCCCAGTCCACCTGGACCCCAGCCCAGTGTCCCTGAGACCAGAAGTACTCACTAAGCCCAGGGATACTAGAAGGGGTAAACTACCCCGGGTAAGGGGGCGCGCTGGGCAACAGCTGGCACCATGCCTGCCAGCAGTGGGGGAGATTAAAGTGCCCAGTTAAACCCGTTTTACTGCTCTGGTGAGAAGACGAATCACCTGGCACATCTTGCCCAGGAGGGTGTGCCAGGGGGAGGTGGGTGGGGTGCACCCCCAGATCCACAGATCCACAGGTGCCCTGAATTCCTGTTGGTCCCCACTCCACCTCCCATGGACTACGTGCAGATTCAGGGGGATAGCACAGTGGCTGACTTTGAGGTCTGATCCCAGGGCTCCTGCTCTCCCAGCAGCTTGGAGCCTAAGGTCAAATCCTGGGGGGTAACAAGAGATAACCCCTGCCTCCAGAAATCGGGGGAAAGGCTGGTGGGACAAGCCCCCAGGGTTCTGGCCTGGGCCAATGGCCACTAGCTGGCAGCCTCCCAGGAACACCTAGAGTGGTCTCTGTTCCCACCCCTCTGGCCAGATAGGGAAGGAAGCAAAGAGGGAGGAATGGGAGGACCCAGAAATAGAACTCAAGGGTCCCTCCCCCCAGACTCCCAAGAGAAACAGGAGCCGGGGATGGCAGGCCAGGCCCAAAATAACGCCCGCTGCCAGGACCTCCCCCAGCCTCAGCAGCTTCAGCTGCTTTGTAGGCACAGCTGTCTCCAGGCCTGGACCCCAAGGCCCTGGCCCAAGCCCGGGACAGGGACTGGCAGAGCTGGGGCAGGGGCCCATCTCCACCCCCTGTGCCCTCGGCCGCCTGGAAGGGACACCAGCTGCAGTAGCCAGGCAATAGGAAAACAACAAGGGAACACTCGGCAGGCACTCTGGGTGGAGCCTCATCCTCCAGAGGCTGGGACTACAACCTCGGTTTCGCAAAGAAGGAAACTGAGGTTGCCAGTGGTTATTCTCCCAAGATCAGAAAGCCTGTGAGCAAGAGGGAGGATTTGAACTCGAGCCTGCACCGACTTCAAATCCCACATTCCTTCCACTAGACCTAACTGCACACACACCCCTCCCCACACCCTGTTCAAAGGTAAATACACACCAGCTCTGTTGATGCCACTGATTACATTATAGGCTTCGGGCAGGGCCGAGTGGCTGAGCTGGGTGGGAGGACCAGAAGGAGCAGTGGCCCCGCCCCACGAGTTTGTTTGTGTCTGTTTTTGAGTCTGATTCAGACTAAATGTTTGCAACAGGTGGTAAAGCTGGGACCCTGAGACCTACTCCCAGGGAGCTGGAGGTTTGGGGGCTAATACCCTCCAACCTGACACCTCCTCTACCTCCACACTTCCCTCCCCCTCCCATCTCCTCACTCATCTCCCCCTCCCCAGTCCTCGCCATGGTCCCCATATCCGCTCTGCCCCCCACTGATTTTCTGGGGCGGGGGTAGGAGGTCCTGTTCCACACAGGGGAGCGCTTTGTCTCCAGAGCACCTGTCCCTCAGGAGCCTCGACCTCCAGATCTCTGGGGCAGTCAGTGTGACCAGAGCCAGGGACACAGTGAGCCCTGGATAAGTGTTTGCGGGATGAATGAACGAATGAATAAATAAATGAACTCCAGTCAAGAGTCTCCAAACCAAAAGGGACCAGTTGAGGTCACCATGTCCAGCCCTCTCTTCAGAGGCTGGTCACGGCCCCCATGTCCCTCTAGCTGGGTGTTAGCGGTCAGGTCCCAGCTCTGGGGGGCTCTCAAGTGGGTTCTTTCTTCCCCACCAGCCTTCAGCCCCAGCTGCCTCTCTTGCTCACCAGCATGAAAGCCAACACTTCCTTTGGTTTCCATGAACACTACCTGCATCCCCAAAGCTCACCTCCCCCAGACCCGTGGGGCCAGAGCCCATTCCAGTGACACCAGAACTCACCCACCACACACGCCTGGGGCCAGGGCTCAGGTCATTAGGCCACAACCCTAGCTGGGCCACTCACGGTGTGACCTTGACCAAGTCCCTGGATCTCGAGGGCAGAGGCCAAATCAGATTCACCTCTATGTCCAGCAGTGCCTGTGACTTAGTAGGCACTCGGTGAATATTTACTGACCTGACCTTGACTGTGAGGGGGGCGGATAATGACAAGTCTTACTCTCTGCAGAGAAATTACACGAGAGTTAAATGAGGTAATGAATCAAGAAACAGTCTGTAAACGTGACAAGCCTTTGTAAGCAGAGCTGGGGCAACACAACATTGGCTATAATGATTCTCCCACTCCTTAAGAGAGCACGCACCCCTCACCCTGTCTCGGCTCTCTTCCCCAGGGGTGGGGAGGAAAGGTGGCCTACTAAGAGATAGGGGTGTCACCCCAGAGGGGCTTCCCACAGGGCAGGGAGGGGGATCTCTTTCCAGGTCATCCCAGCACCCAGGGCCAGGCACAACCAGCCTGGCCCTACACCAGCTCCCCAGCCTCAGCCCGACACTGGTCCCTCCCTCACCCGTAGCCCTGTAGGTCCCACTGCCCTCAGTCCCCTGCCATGCCAGGAGGGCCCAAGAGGAAGGCAGACACGGGCTGGTACAGGGAAGGAGAGGACTCCAAAGCCAAGAGGGAACCTGGTGGGGGGCGAAGAGCAGCTCACCCTCATTTTCTAAAGCCTAGATAAGGGAGGTCATTCACCTGAATAACAAAATAGCACCTCTACCGGAGTCTGGCCACCTGACTGCCCCTGAGGCTTTGCTTAACCCATTCCTGTCAAGGGAATAAGACTTTGATCAACTCTTAATGCCTCCTCGTCAGAGTCTAAAAATGCCCTGGACATTATTGGGTCGCCGGGAAGCCTTGGCTAAGTCACTTCGTTTCTTTGAACTTCACAGGATTGTTGCAGAGATGAAATGAAACTGTAATGGATGAGAAGCAGGCAAATAGGAAGCACGCTGTACTTTTCTAAAAGTTAAGGCAAGAGAAGTTCATATAGCAGGAGTCTGGGTAATTCCAAACCAAGAGAAAATTAACAGTGCTCTGTGTTTGACTTTGTAATACAATGTATTTTCTCTTTCGGCATTTGATCCTATCTTTCAATTATTTTTTTTCTTGAATATTAAAATGAGGTTACTTTCCCTGAGTATAGCAAAAAGAAGGAGGCTGTTGGGAGAATCATTCAGGAATTAAACTATGAGCTCTGCAAGATGTGTTTGCTGCACTTTACAAAACCTTGACCTCTAAGAAAAGAAAATCCCAACCCTCTGGGCCTTCCCCATCTCCCTTTCCCCAACATGCCTGCGCCAGCCCTCAGCCCTGGCATATACCGGGCGTGCTAGAGGCAGCTGAGTGGGGCTCTGCCATTTTAGCCATTCCCCTGCACAACACACCCAACACCTCTCTCTGCACCCAGCACTGCAGGCCGAGGGGTGAGGAAGACCTGAGAAGCTCCCTGTCAATGGCGGGAGAACCGACCCCTCAGATCCCAGCACTGCAGCAACCCGGCCACCCTCCCCCTGCTCAACTCCCAGGCCCAGGTGAGGAGGGCTGCGGCTCAGCCTGACAGCCCAGCCTAGCCTTGCCTCGCCTCGCCTCACGCTTCTCAGAAGGTCAGGGGTGAAGACGTCTGCCTGGGAAACAGGGAGGGGAAGGGGAGGCTCCTGGGAAAGAGGAGCCTCCTTCCTCAGAGAGAAGGCTGCGCGGGGGCACCTCCCGCTATTTACAGCAGCTCTTGAGGGAGTTCCTTGAGAGGGCAGAGTTC